AAGCTTGGCAGTTCTAATCCACCAGCCACTCCTTGGAAACCCTATAGGGCAGTTCTACTCTGTCCTATAGGGTTGTTACGAATTGGCGTCAACTCAACGGCAACGGGGTTTTTTTTTGCAAGGTACATGAACTGGAGAATTGGGTTTGGCATAACTTGGTGACTAGATTCGGCTATGAGGAGATTTTCACTGTGGCTGGATTGACTTGGGGGTACAGTATGTAGCTCCAGGGTGTGGAGAAAGCCCAATGTGCCACTCTAGAACTGATGCACACATGTTCCTTTATTGGGAGTAAGGTTTTTATTCCTTAAAAGGAGTCAAGCTTCCAGTGCCAAGAGCTGTGGCAGAACTGGTTTAAGGGGTAAGTGACCAGATCAGTTTTTTCCCCCATTCTAGATTTTGGGGAGACAGGGGCTGAAGGTGCATGGTGGAGGATGAGTGGAAGGAGACATGAAGTGATTAGAGTTGAAAAGCAAGGAGAGAGAATCTGGGAAAAATCAAGGTAATTGATTTTTAGCAAAGTAGAGGGAATTATTTGTACTTTGTATTTAGACTATATTAGGCCTTTCCCTCAGCATTTATTAATCTCTTAAACAACATCATGTGAAACAGTCATTACTATAATCCCCATCTCATAGATGATAAATGGAGTATCAGTGAGGTCAAGTGACTTGCTAAGGTCATAGAGCTGCTAAGTGGTGAGCTATTGCAGTCTCATTCTGCCAGACTTCAAAGCCCAGGGTCTTTCCACTCCACCTGGAGTATCTGGGATGTCACACTGTCCAAGTGAGTGGGAACGATGATCCTGAAACACCCTTTCTTTCCATATCTCCCCATCCAGTTCAAATCCTTGCTGTAAGCCAGTGTGTATCTTTTGGTCAGCCTCCCTGTAGCTTCAAGCTGTTCTCCTTCCCTGTCCTCTGAATCCCAGTCTCCCTGTTTGAGTCTACTTCACACAGTGTAGGTAACTCTATCTCTTACAATTCATGGGTGCCTGCCCCTTAATTTCAAGCAGGAATCTGGTCTTATGTTCATTTTGTGTCTTTCTCATTACGAGTTGAATGTCCTGTTTGCATTAATGCTCAATAGATGCTGCTGTGACTATCAGAGGGTATGGGTAATTGATTCCAAAGGAACCATAATGTAGCCTGTGTATTTCCATGACCAAGGACACTGACTGGTCTGAAATGACACCAAGAAGAGTCCATCTGTGCACATACACCCTGGGACAGGCACTTGTTTCTCCCATTTGCACTGACTTATCTACCATGAGCAAGTAGTAGAATCTGCCTAAATAGCTGACTCTGGCTTTGCTAATGAGGTCAGGGAGAATTGCACTCCTTTATAACATGGCCTCCTGAAAAGTGAGATGATGTGAAAGACATGTAAATGCCAGAAGCTGACCTGTGGGTCCACAGAACCAAGCCTCACTCTATTGGATTTATAGTTTTCCATTATAATTTAGCTAGATACTGTATCTATGCACGGCACTGTATGGCTGCACTTCCTCATATTTTTGGAATTGTAGTGCTTAGAATTGCTGGAATGAAGTTGTCTGGGGAAAAGTGTCATTTATAATAAATAAAAACCACTCATGGTGACCCCACGTATGTCAGAGTAGAACTGTGCTCCAAAGGGTTTTCAATGGCTGATTTTTTGGGAAATAATTTCCAGGCCTTTCTTCTGAGGCACCTCTGGGTGGAATCAAACCACCAATCTCTCAGTTAGCAGCCAAGAATGGTAACCATCTGTACCACCTAGGGACTTATAATAAATCAAACAAACAAATAAACAAAAAACCAACCCATTGCCGTCAAGTTGATGCCGACTCATAGCGACCTTATAGGACAGAGTGGAACTGCCCCACAGGGTTTCCAAGGAATGGCTAGTGGATTCAAACTGCTGACCTTTTGGTTAGTAGTGAAGCTCTTAACCACTGTGCCACCAGGGCTCCTTATAATACATAGAGACTGTCTAATTCAGCCTTTCTTTCATATTTACCATTTGATAACATTTTTTTAAATTCCATTGTATATGACAGAGTTTTTTTGTTTGTTTTGTTTTTTCTTTTAAACCATTCACCTGTTCATAGATGTGGGTTTTCTCCAAGTTTCAGTGATTATGAACATTGCTACTTTAAACACTTATGTGCAAATCATTGTGTAGACCAATGGATTCATTTCTCTAGGGTAAAACCCAGAAGAATTGTTGGGTCATATGATAAATACATGTTTAACTTTATGAGAAACTGCCAAACAGTTTCCCAAAGTGATTGTAACTTTTTAAACTCCCACTGGAAATGTATGAGAGTTATAGTTGCCTCGTATCTCTCCAACACTGGGTATTGCCAGTCCTTTTAATATTAGTTAATCTAGTTGACATAAAATTTTAAAATAACCAAAAAGCAGCCTTCACTACCACTCATCTGTAGAAACATCAAAACCAAACCCACTGCCAGAAAGTCATTTCTGACTCATAGCAACCATATAGGACAGAGTAGAACTGCCCCATAGGGTTTCCAAGGCTGTAATCTTTACGGAAGCAGACTGCCACATCACTTTCTCCTGCAGAGTGGCTGGTGGGTTCGAACCACTGACCTTTCGGTTAGCAGCTGAGTGCTTAACCACTGGACCACCAACGCTCTTCTAGAAACACATAACTGACACATAAAAGCACTAGTGGTGAATGGGAATTTATGTTCTAAATAGAAAACTGAAAAATCAATATTTTTACACTGAATTTTGCTTCTGAAACGATCTTAAGCTCTAGATTACGCTTTTGACCCTGCCACTTACTAGCTTTGTGACCACGGGCAAGTCAGTTTACTTTTCTAAGAAAGAGGCAATAATGTCTACATTATTATTGAAATATTAAATTAGACAATCAGAGGAAATAAAAGGACATGGATTAGGGATTCAATAATGTAATAATTATTACTTTCACTGGCAAGTAGGATTAAAAAAATGGAACATTGTTCCTCTTGTCAGGTTGCTCAGAGGCCCTTGGGAGAGCTAGGTATGCCAACAGGCCATTTAAACAATGGTCAGTACGAGTATCTGACCTCTTGAAAGCCCAGAAAAGGAGCAACTACTTCAATAAGCCAAGGTAGCAGAAACCTGTTGCCTTCGAGTCGATTCCGACTCATAGTGAGGCTATAGGACACAGTAGAACTGCCCCATACAGTTTCCAAGGAGCGCCTGGTGGATTCGAACTGCCAACCTTTTGGTTAGCAGCCGTAGCACTTAACCACTACGCCACCAGGGTTTCCCAAGGTAGCAGGGAGGGGAGAAAAGTCCTGGGATGCCTTCCTAGCGAAGGGGAGAACTGAGCTAAGCTGTGGAAGGATGAGCATCCTTGAGCTGTTATAGGCTAAGGTGGCAGACAGTTAAATCTTTTTAGAGTAGGTTTTCTTTCTAAGCAATGAAAAGTAAGACGTGAAATTTCAATTATTGTGGAATCCAGTTTCCTTTATTAATGGTGCCTAATGGTCTGTAATTAAGGCACAACTTGTTAGCTAAAACCAACAATTACCATTTGTTTGGTGCTCAAAGGGAGGATAATGAATGACCTTATTCAGCAGTTGTTGTTGTCCCCCCCGCCCCTTTTAGTGGCGTTAGAAGGGGCCCTGGTGATGCAGTGGTTAAGTGCTTGGCTGCTAACCAAAAGGTCAGTGGTTCGAACTCACCATCAGCTCTGCGGGAGAAAGATGCAGCAGTCTGCTTCTGTAAAGGATTACAGCTTTGGAAAACCTATGGGGCAGTTCTACCCTGTCCTGTTGGGTCTCTATGAGTCGGAATTGATTCGATGGTAATGGGTTTGGGGTTTTTTTTAGTGGCTTTAGAAAGCATTGGTTGAGTTTCAATGCCTTTCTCTCTTTCTCCTTCCTCCTTTCCTCTTTTCTTCCTTACACCTTCCTCTTCACCCCAGATGTGAGTAATGCACACACACCCTTCAGAATTCCTTAATTTATACAGAAATTTGAAGTTAGTTTTATGCCTTTTCAAGCGTTTGGGAAAATTGCTGTTCATTTTAATTTCTTTCACAGCTTTCATTACCACATTACCACTCCACCTTCACCCCAACCTCTGGTGTCAGTATAAAAAATGAGTTTAAACCTGTGTGTACTGGGGACAAGGGAGGCAGGAAGGCTGGGTGGGCAGGGATGGCAAAGCAAAGTAAGCTTGACTTGATTTGATGGCAAAACATCTGAGAGACAGGATCACATTGATGGTTTTTAATTCCAGCTCTAATATGAAATGGATTTCCAGCTGGGGAAAACTATTGCTATTGTAACATAGGAAAAAATGACACACACAAAAACACACACAGAGAGATTGAGGGAGAGGGAGGGAGACAGAGAGACTGAGAGACACAGAGAAAGACACAGAGAGTGAGAGAGGGATTGAAACTAAAACCTGAGTAAGTGTTTTGGAGACAAACACATCAGAGCTCAAGTCCTAGATTTGTCACTTACTATCTTTGCTGAGTTTTTAACCTCGGTGGTATTAGTTTTCCTCATCTTTAAAATGAGAGAGCTATATGAGTATCAAATGAAATAATGTAAAAATTCATTGTCTAATGCCTGTCATAACGTAGGTGCCTCATATGTAATAATCCCATTGCAGTTGAGTCGATTTTGACTCATAGCAACTCCATAGAACAGAGTAGAACTGCCCCATAGAGTTTCCAAGGCTGTAATCTTTACAGAAGCAGACTGACACATCTTCCTCCCACGGAGATGCTGGTGGGTTTGAACTGCCGACCTTTCGGTTAGCAGCCAAGCACTTAACCGTTGTGCTACCTGGGCTTCTTTATGTAAAAATAGCTACTACTTATTGTTTATTATGTCATCTCTCTGCCGTCACCCCATCCACCTCAGAATCACAACCATAGGGCCAAGCACAGAGAACCTCATTATGAAATGGAGTGAGAAAGGGGCCCATTCCCATGGGATGGGACACTCATTACTCGAAACATGTGACCAGGAGGTCTCTCTCAGCCCTGATGATCCCAGAGAACCTTCACTCTAGCTTTGTCTATTTCTTTACAGTTCCGAGGTAAGGTACAAAGACAGATGCACATAGAAGAGGTAAACTTCCCCTCTTTAACCTTAAATGACGGCCATTTTCTTTCAGATTACCTGAAGAATTTGAGTGGTTTCCCAAGGCAGAAGCACATGCATTTTAATAAAGAGTTTCAGTGAGTCAGTGAAAACAGACAAGTTTGGCGAAACTTCCTAAGGGATTTCTTTGACATTAAGCACATTAATATCATGGAAGCCAACGGTGACAGTGCATAGAGAAGATCGAACTGTGCAAGGTCAGTAATCAAACATGATCAGATCACACTGCTGCAGACTCCTGTTCCCCAGAGTTAGAACACCAAGCTAAAAATATGACTTCTCCTAAAAATATGACTCCAGTGCACACATTTCACACAGTCTGTGGCTACAGATAAAATTCTGCCGTGGCTGTAATCTCTTCTTTGCCCCTCTCTCATATAGATCCTAACGGGTGATGAAAACAGTATGGGATATCAAGTAACTTCTTTGGGTGCAAATCTCAAAATCCACCAATGCTTAGTTGCATAAACTGGCCTACTTACTCATGGGGCTCAACTTCCTCTTCTGTTCAATCAGATTATTAACGTGCACCTCTTACAATGTCAGAATTAAATAAGGAATGCTACCTATGAAGCCCCTAGCAAAGTTCCTGGCACACAACAACTTAATAGCTGCTCAAAAATGGTTTGAACTCAGTATACAATACTGTGGAAGCCAGTACAACTTACACAAGGAAAGGTCATGGAAGCTCCATAGACACATCCAAACTCCCTGAGGGACTGAACTGCTGGGCGGAGGGCTGTGGGGACCATGGTCTTGGGGAACATTTAGCTCAATTGACATAACACAGTTTATAAAGAAAATGTTCTACATTCTACCTTGGTGAGTAGTGTCTGGGGTCTTAAAAGCCTGTGAGCAGCCATCTGGTCTCCCCACTTCAGGATCAAGGGAGAATGAAGAAAACAAGATACAAGGGAAAGATTAGTCCAAAGGACTAACGGACCACAACTACCACAGCCTCCACCAGACTGAGTCCGGTACAACTAGATGGTGGATGGCTACCACCACTGACTGCTCTGACCAGGATCACAACAGAGGGTCCCGGACAGAGCTGGAGAAAAATGTGGAACAAAATTTTAACCCACAAAAAAAGACCAGACTTACTGGCCTGACAGAGAATGGAGAAACCCTGAGACTATGGCCCCCGGACAACCTTTTAGTTTAGTAATGAAGTCACTCCTGAGGTTCACCCTTCAGCCAAAGATTAGACAGCCCCATAAAACGAAACAAGATTAATGGGGCACAACTGTCCAGGGACAAGGACTAGAAGGCAAGAGAGGACAGGAAAACTGGTAATAGGGAACCCAAGTTTGAGAAGTGACAGTGTTGACATGTCATGGGGTTGTTAACCATTGTCATAAAACAATATGTGTACTAACTGTTTAATGAGACACTATTTGTTCTGTAAAGCTTCATCTAAAGTAAAATTAAAAAAAAAAAAGAAATATTTTGATCAACTACTTGGTGCTGGTTCTCTTTGCCATAGAGCATGCTGAGAATTATAAACTATCTTTAAGGAAGATGAAAGGATACACAAGTTGGGTTCGAGCTGAGTTATTCAGGACAGCAGGGGTAATGTGCTAACACCCCAGACGTGCTTTTTCCTTGCTCTTTGTTGTGGTTAAAAATATGTTCATACATTAGTTGATACTCCTCCCTTCAAGAGGTAGTACTTACCCACCCCAGCCCACCAGCTTGAGTGTTGGCTAGACTTAGTGACTCACCTCTTATGAATAGACTAAGGTATAAGTGACAGTGTGTGACTTTCAAGACTAGGTCATAAATGGCATTTTGACTTCCACCTTGCTCTTTCTCTTGGTTCACTTGCTCTGGAGGGAGCCAGCTGCCAAGTCCTGACGACCCTCAAGCAACATGTTTTTTTTTGTGTGTAAAAATATATCTCACACAACGTTTGCTAATTCAACTTTTTACAGGTGCACAACTTATTGACAACAATTATATTAAGTGGCTGTGCAACCATCACCCTCAGTCAATGTGAATTTGCCATGACTATAAACTGAAACTCAGTTAAGCAAATGCTCTCTCCTACCCCCTCCCTCCTGTCCCTGGTAACCACTAGTAAACGTCGGTCTTCATAAAAAAAAAAAAAAAAAAAAGGTTTGGTCTCATCCTCTACTCTTGACATCATTGTAGTTTTTAAACATGAAGAGAGAAAGCAAGATGCTTGAAGTCAAAAGACTTGAGTTTGAGATCTAGCTCTGGAATTTACCGACAAAATGATTATAGAAAAGGCATCAAACCTTCCTGTGTTTGTTTCGTCATCTGTACAATAAAGTTCATGATTCTTTTTTTTTTTTGCCTGATGTTATTGTTGCTCAAGTTTAAAAGAGATAGCTGCTGTTGTTTGCCATTGAGTTAATTCCAGTCATAGCAACCCTACAGAACAGAGTAGAACGGCCCCATAGGGTTTCCAAGGAGCAGCTGATGCATTTGAACTGCTGACCTTTTGGTCAGCGGCCTAAGCTCTTAATCACTTCGCCACCAGGGCTCCAAAAGAGATGATAAGAGAAAGAATTTTATACTGTAAAGTGTTAGAAGAGTGGTCAGTAAATAGAAGGGTTTTGGGTAGGAGAAGTGTACACCTCAGAATAATCTCTACATTAATAGCATGAGATTAAAAATTCTCTTCCCTGAAATTCCAAGACCGAATTTTAGGTATGGTAAGAGGCATGTATTTTTACAGAAAGTGTTTACCGTCTAGATAATTCTAACATGTAGTCCCTGGTGAGAATCATCCCAGTATGAAAAATGTGGTATTGTTATGAGAACCAGTGAAGTATAAATAATAGTGCTATCCTTGATTTCAGGTCTTCTGCATACATTATTGGAGCCCTGGTGGTGCAGTGGTTAAGAGTTATGGTGAGCTACAGCTGCTAACCAAAAGGTCGGCAGTTCAAATTCACCAGCTGTTTCTTGGAAACCCTATGGGGCAGACTTACTCTGTCTTATAGGGTCACTGTGAGTCGGAATTGATGTGAAGGCGTACATTATTTGGCATAACGGTCACCACTAAATTATAATGTGTACATTATTATCCTTATATTAATGACACAAAAAATTAAAAAAAAACTATGAATTATATTACGACAGGATGAGCTGAAGTTGTAGAGCTTGAATTCAGTCATAAGCCATTCTTACTGTCTCCATCCAAACCCTTTGCTCTTTAGAATGTCTCACAATCCGGTAACCAGCCGTGAAGGTCAAAGGCTCAGACAGGAGACTCCATCCAGCATCACTCAATGGATAGCAGGTGAGTCGTAAGTTTTCCATGTCTGTTTCCTAACCTGGTTAATGAATATATGAATGGATGAATGAGTTATGTAGGACATTTCAACAACAATATTTAACTCCTACCACTTGTCTAGAAGACCAAAATTTATCAGTCCAAAATTTGAGTTTTTCTCGGTAGACAGTATGGATTTATTTTTTTTGATCAAAATATCATAGGTAAGATAGTAATAATAAAATATTACAGGAAACTTAATGAGATTGGAGTATATCCTGATACTTATGAATCCCATGTCTGAAAACTACCCTAGAGATCCAACGGTAGTGCTCTGTGGGGGAGCTCATCCTAGTATCCCCCCCTTCTCCACTGGTAATAACTTTCACGAGCCCTGCCATATCATAATGCCTTCTGCATCCCAAACAAATGAGGTTTTTGTAATTGTCTGAATGGCTTAAAGGTCTTGAAAATAAGTATACAAATTTCAGAAAAATAACTTAAAATTATGCTAATTAATATTTTAAACATCATACTTCATTGTCAATAGAAAACCTAACTTCAAAGGTGAACTGTAAGCATCATCTCATGGAGAGACCTATACATCCACACCATAGATACCTGGTTACCAAAGATGGCCACCCATAATGAATGCCTCCCCACTCCAGGCGCACGTCTCCCTCCTTCTATCAAAAGTGGAGTCAGATTCCCTTCTTCTTGAATCTAGTATGGTTTGTAACTTGTTTTAACCAACATAAGGTGGTATGCTGCTTCTGGGCCTAGCCCTTAATAAGCATGGAAGCTTTCTGTTTTGCTTTCTTGAAACCCAACTGCCCTGTGAAGAAAGTTCAGGCTCTCCTTCAGGAGTGAGAAGCTACTTTGAAAAAGAGCTACCATATGGGGAGACAGTCCATGTGGAGGAGAACTGAGACACGCTAGTTGTTATGGGTTGGATTGTATTATCCCAAAATATGTATTGGAATCCTAAACCCTATACCTGTGGATATGATCCTGTTTGGAAATAGAGTTTTCTTTGTTATGTTAATGAGGTAACATCGGTAGTGGGTGTGTCTTAAACCTAATCAATTTTGAGTTATAAAAAGAGCAGATTAAACACAGAAGTAAGCCCAAAAGGGCGGTAGAGGGGCAAAGACAGATGCTGTGTAAGGATCTCAAAGGAACAGAGGAACGCTGGGCTACAGGAGCTGAAAAAGATAAAGATCTTCTTCAGAGTCTACACAGAGAGAGGGAGAAAGAGAGAGAGAGGCCTCCCCTAGAGGCGGTACCCTGAATTAGGACTTCTAGCCTCCTGAACTGCGAGAATATAAATTTCTGTTCTTTAAAACCATTCACTTGTGGTACTTCTGTTACATCAGCACAAGCAATTTAAGACACCAGCCAACGGGCAGCACCAAGGCCCAGATATGTAATAGGGGCTTTCTTAGACTTTGTAGACCAGCCCAGCCACCAACTGAATGCAAAGCCACTTGAATGACCCTAGCTGATACCACATGCAAGAGAAGAACCAACGACTCAATGTTCAGTACCATGAGAAGTAATACATCATTGTTGTCTTAAGTCACTGAGTTTTGGGGTGGTTTTCTATGCTATAAAAAAATGACTAAAATTAAACCTCAAATCAGGGTGCCTCTGGTGTTCTGTGAAGTGAATGGGATGTGGTGTGTGTGTGTGCAAGGTGTGTGGCGATCTATACACTTTCCTGATAGCACTCTATGGAGTCTCCTGACACCATAGATGAATAAATAAGTGATCTGTTCAGCTAAGCAGCTATAATTTATTTATGCTGTATAGCAAGGATGTGCATATTACAGTTGTCTCTGATGTTTGCAAAAGCTGCAGTTGAAAGTTTACTATAGTTTACTCCATAGGGCTTCTGATAAAAGTTATACATCAGTCAGCTCCCTCAAAAACTATCTTTTTCTTTTTTTTAAGATCTTGTTGTATTCCACACTCATTCCTTCAATCGAAACTGCTTCATCAACTCTTGGGGAAATGCCCCATTTGTCTCTTGACAAAACTGATGTAAAACAATCAACGCCATTTCAGTCATGTAACATGAGAAGATTCACATTATATTGAAGTTGAAATCTTGGGTTTAAAAATGAGTGGAATTCCAAAACCAGGTCCAATGCTCTACACTTAGTATCATCTTCTATGTGGAGAGAAGCGATCACTGAAAAAACCCATAGCTTATGAGTTAGCTTTCCCTACCTCAGTCTTCTCAGATAGGCAAGTTGCGGGTATTAGCTCTCTATTGTGGTATAAAAATTAACACAGACTTAAAGGCTTAAAACAACATATATTGGTTACCTCATAGTTTCCATAGGTTGAGAGTCCAGGCAAAGCTTAACGTGGTCTTCTACTCAGAGTCTCACAAATCAAGATATCATCTGGGCTACATTCCTTTCTAAAGCTCCCTCAGAGTCTTCTTCCAAGATCACATGATCACTGGCAGAGTTTAATTCCTTGTGGTTGAAGGACTGAGGTTCCCATTTTCTTTCTGACAGTCAGTCTGAGGCCACTCTAAGCTCCTAAGACCACCCACAGTTCTCTGCCACGTGACACTCTTCCTGGCCCTCGCAAAGCATGGCAGCTTCCTTCTTCAAGGCCAGCAGGAAAATCTCTCATTCCAGTGTGCTATGATGGAGTCTTATCTAACGTAACATAATCAACGTAGAAGAGTGGCTATCCCATTCCCTTGGCCGTATTTTATCATCTAGAGGTAAATCACAGGTTCTACTTCCACTCAAGAACAGGGGGCTATATACAAACATGACTCATTAAGGGTCATTTTAGAATTCTGCTTACCACATTGTGTTAGGAGAGGTTGCTCCCAAAATTGCAATTACAACACCAGCAGCATGCAGAAGAGTTCTCAGATAGATTTTGATTCTGCTAGAAAAAGGTACACAAAAAGCCATTGCTGAACTAAAAGATGCAGCTCAAGTTAAGAGGTAGATTGTTAAGGTAAAGGACAAAGATGCCACTGTAAAAATTCATACGAAAAGTACCAAGGGTGTTGCGATGAAAATTGCTACATGAAAATCTGAATATCTTAAGTGTGTTTGAAAGAAGTGTGCCTTCCTCAATGATTATTTTAATTAAATACTGAGGTACTCCGTTGGAAGCTTGCCAATATTCTTTTTTTCCTGAATTTTCCCAAATTAGTTTGAATAGCTGTATGAAAATGAATCTAAGTTGTAGAAAAGTAACTGTTCGTCGTGATGGTTCCTGCTAAACATTTTTCAGTGACCAACTTATTTACTTTTGTGGAGGCAAATTTTAACTCGGCACCCACATTATGCTGAGCAATTCCATGCAAATAACTGCATTTAATCTTAACAATGAGATAATGCTACTTCCATTTTCAGTTGTATAAAACAAGGCCCAGAGAAATAAATAATTCTCTCCATCTAGATTGTGGTTGCCTTAAGAGCAAGGAGTATGTCTTAGTCATCTCTGTACGGAGTGCCTTCAGACCAGAGGCAATCAATCAGTGGGAATCACACAACTGCTAAATGGTTATCAGGATTAAAACCCCAGTTCCTCTGACTTCAAAGCCTATGTCATTCTACTTCACCTTAGCATCCTTTTCATCAAAGTTAGGGATTCTTCCTTTTTTCTTGGATCTCTGTCAAATGATCCTGGGTGGCCAGTGTGCATGTTACTCATCAGAAGGAATGCTTTTGGTATTCCAGACAGGGAACCACCCAGCAGGAAATGGTTATGAATTCCAAAAACTGACATGTCTGGGGCATGTAGCAGGGAGGGAGATGAGGGAGGTCAGGCACAGGACTAGAGTGAGACAAGTAACATATGCGCCTTGGCTGTGAAATATAAGGGGCACCAGAAAACTAGGTAATCATGATGTTATTAGTTGCTGTCAAGTTGATTCTGACTCATAGTGACTCCATGTGTGCAGAGTAGAACTGCTCCATAGGATTTTCAAGGCTGTGACCTTTTCAGAAACAGATTCCCAAGCCTGTCTTTCAAGATGCCTCTGAGTAGGTTTGAACCACCAACGTTTAAGCTAGTAGTCAAGTGCTTTACCATTTGTGCCACCCAGTAATCTCCTCAGTAATCATGATAAATAAAGTTTATGCAATAGTTTGGAAAAAATAAAAATTAATGAATATCCATGATGAATAAAACATCAAAAGTTTAAATAAGGACGGGATCTGACCCTGTGCTTGCCCAGCTCACTTCTCTTGCTTTATCTTCATCCCAACCCTGAAGGAAGAGATGGTAATAGAGGAAAGCAGTTAGAGTAGGGTCAGACCGAATGAGGAGTAATAAAGGAATCTCTTCTCCCATCTCCTTGTCTTCCAGGAAGCAGAGGGGGTGAAGGTGGTGGAGAAACAAAAGATTTCTGTTACCCAGGGTTTAGATTCCAGAAAAGTGACTGGGATTTCTAGAACACCTGCTAAAGCAAAGAAAAACTTATCAAGTGAATTCCCCAATCCATGTTTTCACATGGCAAGATTGGGAAACCACAGACTTGTGTGCTAGTCTGTACTCCAGCTCTCAATTATTGTGTGACATGGGGCCGGCTGTTCCCTTCTCTAGGCCTCAATTTACTCATTTGTAAAATGGGAGTTTTGGAATGGATGCTTTTTGAGGTCCCTTCCAGCTCAGACATTCTAGAAGGGTATGGATTTGCAGCTCCCAAGGTGAACACTCTGTCCCTTTCTCATGGTGGAAGTGCAGGATTACAGAGAAACCTTTCCAATGTGTCAAACTTGAACATCTGCTGTCTTATGGGCTTTCTTGAGTCAGTTTGGTGGTCTGTGTCAAAAGAAGAGGCTAGTAGTAGTTCCCATTGGTCCCCAGAGGCCAGGGCCGTAGAGGGTCAATTGAAGTACTCATCTTCTTGTGACTTAGGGCATTGAAGCTGATATTATAATATTGTTCAGTTACCTCATAACTGTGTTTGTATTTAAGATAACAGCTACCATGCAAGGATCCATCAGACTCTGGGTAGTACAAATGATTAATATACTTGGATGCTAACCAAAAGGTTGAAAGTTCAAGCCCACCCAGAGGCACCTCGGGAAAAACGCCTAGCAACCTACTTCTGAAAAATCAGCCACTGAAAATCCTGTAGAGCATAGTTCTACTGACACACACAGGGTCGAAATAAGTTGACATTAACTTGATAGCAGCTGCTTTGTTTTTTTCTTTGTTTGAAGGATCCATCATTATGTAACAATATTTGAGAGATAAGATGTCGTAGTGGTTGGCCCCATGCATGGCTTACTGGTTTAGAGTACTGTCCCTCTCTGTCATTAACTGCATCAATCAGGGTGCAGCCAGGTGGCAGAGCCATGTGAGTTACCTGAATAGAGGACATTTAACATAAATGGTTGTTAACTAGGTACAGTAAAACCTGTGAAAGCTGGAACTCTACAGGACTGCCTTGTTTCTCCGGGTCTCGCGAGTTTTCCGCCTTTGATGTGGTGCAGTCTTAACACTTTTCTATTGTTCTCTATTGGTAGAAAGTATTTGAGTGTTTCTTCTCTGACAGGGTTCCACCTTACACGGGTTCCAGCTTTTACAGCTTTATTGCATAAATTTGTTAACTAGGTAAATTAAAGGGTCTGTGCAGAATTGTGTGTTGTGGAGTGGAACTGCACTATAGGGTTTTCTTGGCTTTAATCGTTATGGAAGTAGATTGCCAGGTCTTTCTTCCATAGTTTCACTGAGTGGATTCGAACTGCCAACCTTGAGGTTAGTGGTTGAGTGCAAACCACCGGCACCATTTAGTGTAAGGTATCAGAGTTAGAAATTGCAGGAAGCAGCTACCACACCTAGGGTTTAGGGAACAAAGGAAATAGTTGGGAATGATTAAATCTTTGAACAGAACTGAACAAAGACCTCTGAGGAGGGGTGCTGGCCAGCTGGTGTTGGTATTTTGAGGAGTGCACAAGGAAGCTTGTTCTGCAAGTGCTGGAAAAATGTAGAACTGGATTCAGCTGCTGCTATGAGAAGGAACTGCTGCTGCCAGGGTGAACAAGTGTCACTTGGGTGTCGCTCGTGGGACTGGCAAGCAGACAGGAAGTCACACAGGAAGCAAACCAGAAGTAGCAAGTCCCTCCAGCCTTGCAGAGCTGAACAGGAATTTAGCTGGCAATGTAGAATATGCTTTGTGAAGTCCCCATCCCAGCATTTCAAAGTACAGTGTAGAAGAGAGGGTTTGCTGTTGAGAGTCAATACCTTATTAACTGACACAATAGCTCTTTGACCTTAGATAAATCATCTAACCATTTTGTGCATCCATTTCCCATCTGAAAATAGGGAATAATAGTGGTATCCTCTTCATCAAGTTGCCATAAAGGTTAAATTAGTTAATACAAGTGCTTAAAACAGTTCCTGGGACAAAATAAGAGCTCAATAAAACTTATCTGCTATTATTTTACAAAGAAGAGAAAGAGAGAACAAATATGTCTGCTTTGTCTGAGTTCCTAGATTGGCATTTTCCATACATTTTGTGGCTTCATTTCCAGAGTGACTCCGAGAAGAGAGCGTCATTTTCCTGATGTTCATACGTGAGGAGACTGAGGCTTGGTGATTTGAATAGTTTACCAAAGGCTCTCAGGTAAAAGGACTTTGTTGAGCAGGAATTCAAGTCTAGATGCGTTTGACTTAAAAAACCATACTCTATATACGGCAACATACCACTTCCCCTGGATCAAGAGAAAAAAGGTAATTCTAATTTTGATTTCATCCCTCACTTATGAAAAGTTAAGCTAGGCTTTATCTCCTTGAGCTAAAGATAAACCATCCATAAAATTAGAATAAAACATTAGCTTCCAACACATGGTCAAACTTTTTAAAAATAGCAAAACTTATCTCAATAGACAGCAAGTCTAACAAGATAAAATACTCAGGGAAGAACACAAAGTCTTATATGGTAAGTTCTGTGATAACATGACATATGTGTTCCTATAATGTGGTCCAATAAATCACAGCACTATGCAAAAGCGTACAATAGAAACCACAGAGCTTATGGAAAAAATGGGGTTACAAAACTCAAAAACATCATCAACGATACATGCAAAGAGATGGGTACCTTATAAAGATGGTAACAGCATTTTACACATGTTAAATGCTTTAGAAAGACATAAATATCACAATAAATATGGCATTGGTGCAGTGGTTAAGAGCTACGGCTGCTAACCAAAAGGTCTGCAGTTCAAATCCACCAGCTGCTCCTTGGAAACCCAATGGGGCATTTCTACTCTGTTCTATAGGTTTGCTATAAGCCAGAATCGACTCGATGGCAACTTTGTTTTTGTTTTTTTTTTACCCTTTTAAAAGATCTGGAGTTTGCATGTGGAAATGAGTGTCAGAGGATTGCAGCTTAGGAGTTATTGTGAAGTGAGGGAAGGAGGATGATCTGGAATCTGAGGGAAAGCTATGACACCAGATGTGGATGATGTGGTTTATGACACATTGTGAACTGAGGTAGCTGGTAGATGACTGAGATGTGTGCATTTTGTATACTCCTGTGGAGCTGGGTTCAGCTGGGTGCAGTGTGCTGCAGAAGAAATAATGTATATGCAAATTAATATTTACATTAGGCTCAAAATGTTTCCTAATATAACAATTGCATTGGAACAAATTCAAAACAAGTATTATAACAAAACTGGCTACTGTTTGCTTAAAAAACTTAGCCAGAAAAATAGAAGATACAAGATAGAAGAGACGAGAGTTAACAGCAGTGCAGGTGAGAAGGTCTTCCAAGTTATCATCAGCACAGTATGACACTAGGATGCTGGGTTAAAGAAACCTCAAGTTGCTTTAAGAAAATACATAGAGTGACAACAATAGTAACAATAAAACAGCTCTTCAGTGTTTAGCCTATGCTAGCTAGAAAGCTGGGTGATTTACTCTATTATGTCATGGTATCTCATTGATTCTTCACAGGGATACTATGAGGAATAGTTTTGCAGAAGAAGAAATTATGATGCAGAAGTTTTAAGTAACTTTCTCTTAGAGTTGGCAATCTGGAATTTGAATTTAGGCCTTTCTGTTCCCAAAGTGGAAACACTGTTGGTGGCATAGTGGTTAAGAGTTCGGCTGCTAACCAAAAGGGTAGTTCAAATCCACCAGGCAGTCCTTGGAAACCCTACGGGGCAGTTCTACTCTGTCCTATAGGGTCGCCATGAGTTGGAATCAGAGAGAGTGAGATAGTCCTTGGGTGGGGCAAATGGTTAAGCTCTCAACTATCAGCCGAAATGTTGGTGGTTCAAACCCATCCATAGGCACCTGTGAAAATAGGTCTGGTGATCTGCTTCCGAGAGGTCACAGCCTTGAAAACCCCATGGTGTAGTTCTACTCTGCACACATGGAGTTGCTGCGAGTTGGGATCAACTCAAAGGCGACTAACAATAATTTCATATATATGTCGTTATTGTTGTTAATTGCTGTTGAGTCGACCTGAATCAACTCAACAGCATTTAACAACAATAACAACATATATTTATTGATATATACAGGTAGTCACCAACTTATGACATATTCGAGTTATGACGAACTGCACATAGGACCGTCTGGTATTTTCTTTTTGTGTGTGTGTATATCTTATCATTAGTAATATGTACTACATACAATGTTGCAGCACATAATTTGTTTATGTTATCATTCTCAGATGTTCACTTGCAGATGTTCAAGGTTGGATTTATAAAGATAATGATAATAAAAGGCAATAATAATGAAAATAAAAAAAGAAGTATTCGACTTATGTCAGAACTGATTTACAACAGAGTCATTGGAACAGAACTCTATTGTAAATCGGGGACTGTATATACACACACACATATACACACAGAGGGAGATTGATTTATATGTGTATATATATACATATATATACACATGGCATATATATATATATATATATATATATATATACATTATCCATATATAGAGATATATATAGAGAGAGAGATTTTAAGTAACAGTCTTATGAGGTTGTGGGGACTGGCAAGACTGGCAAGACCAAAATACATAGGCCAGGCAGCCGTCTGGGAACTCCCGCAGGATATATATATAAGGTCGCTAAGAGTCGGAATCACCAGATGGCAATGGGTTTGGTTTTTTTGGTTTAGTCTTGAGGTAGAATTCCTTCTTCAGGAATACCTCAGTTTTTTGCTCTAAAACTCAACTGAGTGGATGAGACCCACCTACATTATCATGGGTCAGCTGATTGGCAGTGTTAATCACATCTACAAAATACCTTCACAGTAACACCTAGTTTCATGTTTGATTAAGTAATTGAGCATCATAGAAGAGCCCAGCTGACACATAAAATTAACCATCATAAGTAGGTAAGGGACTGAAATGAGACTAGACTTTGGGGCAGCTGACTTCTGTTTTCCACTGAACAATGCTGCTTCTCTATGACGTCTGATGAGAGAACCCATATTTTTACTGCTTTGATGACTATAAGTCCATCTTCAGATTCTGAGTTCTCACTAACTGACAAGGCAGGCCAGATTCTCTTGGGCAGAGTGACACCACTTGGACACAGCATGGTCTGTATAAGATATTTTGGACTAGAAGCAAACTGTTTGTCAAAAGAATAATATTCAAACTACACATTTGTTCTGCAGACGTTCTCCATGTCCTCCACCCCACACATGCTCTCTCCTTTGTGCAGGCAGAGCCTCATTATCCATGTTACACTGCGAGTCGATTGTTATTGGTCCCCCTGTCTCTCTCCCTCACTCTCTGTGAGTTCCCAGGGAGCAGAAACTGGGTCGTTTTCCTCTCAGTATCACAAAGGTCCAGTACAAGGTTTACAAAGTCAACTCCATGAGGACAGAGACCATGAAGCCTTGTGTCACCGAGAGGTCCAGGCCAGTCCCTGACATCAAGGAGGCTCTCAGTAAGTAGTTGTTGATTAAATGCATGAACGTTAATGAAATATTCATTTCAATAAATCAGTTAGTCAAAGAAGTATATATCTGTACAGAATGATGTGGTCAATGGAAAAAAAAAATCCAAAGTTTCTTTAATGACATGGGGAAATATTCAGAGTATAATGTTAAGTGAAAAAAACACAGTATGTTTATTCGGTATGATCCATATTATGTGAAAGAAGTGGCCTCTGGTTTACAATGGTTGTCTCTGGATTCTGAGATTTGGGGTAACTTTTGCTCTCATCACTATACTTTAAGGCCACTTTTCAAATTATTTAAAATAAGCATGCATTACTTTGAGAATTAGGAGGAAATACTTTAAGTTAAATGATTTCATTTGGAATTTTAGATATTATGTTTATTCAGTTGGATGATTTTAGGGGTAGGATGACTTCTGATAAGGGAAAATTTAACAGAATTGTTTTCTTTACCTTAGGAAGACCAAACTTTCTCTCAGTTCAGTGACTCTGAGAATTCTCACAATTAAGCAGTGACCTCCATAGCAAGCAGTGCCCTGAGAGAGGGCATCTTTATTTCTGGGTTTCTATTTCACAGGCAAGAAAGAATCCAGTAATACCAGGGCCTTCCAGCCTTGTTTCATTTTGCTTTGTTTATTCTAATTGTGTGAGTTTGCTACAGTGTCTGGGGTAGTATATCATTAAATACACTAGCATTGACCAAATCAACAATGATTTTTCAGTATTTTTTTTCCAGAGTCTCTGTGTGTTCTATGGAAAATTATTTAAAACATTAGTTTCATAAGTTTATTGTTATCTCATCATGATGTATGCCATTAAAAAAAAAAAAAAAGAAAATAACCTTCATGTATATTAGTCTTTTTCACAATGATATAATTATATAATATACCAGGGATCAGTAAAGTATGCCCCAGGAGCCAAAACTGACCTACAGTCTGTTTTTGTACAGTTTATGAGCTAAGGATGCTTTTCATATTTTCAAATGATTGAAAATAAACGAAACAGAGAATAATATTTTGATGTGAAATTTAGATGAAGTTCAAATTTCAGTGTTCATAAAGTTTTATTGGAACACAACCACACTCACTCATTTACATTTTGTCCACGGCTACTTTTGCTCTACAATGGCAGAGCTGAGTAGCTGTAACAAAGATCAAATGGCTTGCAAGTCTAAAATATTTGCTATCTGCCCATTTACAGAAAAAAATTACCAACCACTGTAACAGATCTATGTCAGTACTAAAGAAAACTTGAAATGACTCCAACCAGTATAAAAGTGAAACAAGATCAGGCTGACCAATCACACAGGGACACATATTGTATGATATCATTAATGTGAAATGCCTACAATAGGCAACTGTATAGAGTCAGGTAGTAGTTACCAGGATCAAGAGGATGGGAGAAAAGCAGAAATCATTGTTTAGGAAGAATTGAGTTTTTGTTGATGGTGATGGAAAATTTGGCAATGGATATTGATAATGGTTGCATAATATGGTTGATTTGATTGGTTTCATTGAACTGTACACATGAAAAAATGTTTAATTGGCAAATGTGTTGTGTATATTTTTACAACAATAAAAAAGGGAATAGTTAAGTAAAATGATCAGACTGACAACCAGGACTCATAGAATTTTGAATTGGAAGACATTTTAAAAATGTATTTAGTCTCACTGCCACTGTCTTGGTTCAGATCCTCATTTTCTCTCATCTGAATGGCTATGGAAGCCTCTACTCTTATCTATACCTCCCATCTCGACACATATACCGCATATCCTCAGTCTAATCCACCTCTCCACCACACGCTCACACAACTATGCTGAATTTGTCTTCTAAAGGGCAAATATGATCACATCACTCTCCATATTAAAGCACTGCAATGTCTCCCACTGGTCTGTGATAGTGGTCTTCACTATGTGCCTTGAGGA